CGTTTTGTCTTGTTGTGATATGTGTGAATGAGAAACTCGTGAAGGAGGAAAGGAATTATTTGACAATTAATATTGTATTACCAGCTCTACTACTTCATCTCTCAAACACCTTCCTCTAGCTTTATCCATCACGTTGCTTCTTTCTCACATGATCTTAACACTTATGTCATTCACCTTGCCAAAGACCTCCAGGAGACAATCCGCCGCGTCATCCAAGTGTGCCATGACTGGGGCTTCTTTCAAATGGTCAACCATAACATGGGGCTCGACATGATGAGGAGTGATAGGGCTATGTGGCATGAGTTCTTTAACCAGATGCCAAAGGCCAAGGAGGAGTTCACCAACTCTCCAACTACTTAAGAGCAGTATGGCAGTCACTTGGGAGTCCAAAATGGTGCCATCTTTTATTGGAGTGACCACTTCTTCCTCCATTTCATGCTTGTTTCTCTTCACAACAGAGCCAAGTGGCCTGCTCTTCCACCATCTTAGTAGTATTCTCATTTATAACTAAAATATAATTTAACTTAACAGTGGCAAGATTCAAGTAAGGAGCCATGATGGTGAGGAGACGATTTTGGAGGATGGTAACTTGACTTATCAAAGGGTATGCGTCAAGTGTTATTTCATGTCAAAGATCATTTTATGTCAAAATGAAAGGCCAAGATCAGCTCTCCCAGTGATGAGCGCTTGGTCGATTGAAGATCCTATGACATGTGCGAAAAGGGAACGTGGAAAGCAACCTGGTCTGACAAAGCCAAGGCAAATATGAGAGAGAAAATGTGGTGAGGTGAGATTGCCCATGTTTAATCGTTCATGGTTCATAGTGTATCAAATATGAGTTTAAAGTTTAAATTAAATCACCTCTAAGTATATAGTTTAGGGTCCAAATTGCCAATTAACCTTAAATTAAATATATGTTTGATGCTAAAAATGTATGAAATAATATGATAAATGAGAATACTTATTTACCAACTAAAAAGAAAGGTTATTTCTTTAACAGCAAGAACCATTCAATAAAACTTTATATTAAGATATACCCACTTTTTTAAACCCTTTGTTAAAACAAAAATTAGCTAGGAGATAATCATTTTAGTCAGCTGAACTTATTCCTTATGCTTACAAAACAAAAAAGGAGGGGAAGGGGGAGAATGACAGTTAAGTTTTAAGAGTATCAATTAATTTAAGTTAAATTTCAATTAATTATACAATGCCAACAAAGTTCCTTAATCCTTTAATGATAATAAATCTAACATCTCCAAAAATTTGCAAGTTCAACTTTTAATTTTATAACTTTATTATAATGCATTTGCGTGTTATTTTTCAAATTTTAATAGGACTGAAAAATAAACAATAGGCAATGGTAAAATAAAGAATCTATTTATTTTATTGATAAATAGGCAATAGGCAATGAATAAACAATAAGCTTAATATTTTTTAACATTAAATATGAATGTTTGTATTCCCTGTTAAAATTTAAAAAATAAGTTACAAATTTATCACAACAAAGTTGTAAAATTTGAAACCCAACTTGCAAATTCCTAGAGCTGTTAGACTTAATACTTTTCAATAGTAAAGATGAACATCTGTGTTTCTTGTTAAAACTAAGAAAATAAATTGTAAATACATTATAATAAAGTTGCAAAATAAAGAGTTGAACTTACAAATTTCTGAAACAATTAGACTTAATACTTCTCACATTAAAGATTAATATTTGTATTCCCTATTAAAAATTAGCAAGTTCCAAATGCATCACAATAAAGCTGCAAAATTGGGAGTTGAACTTGCAAATATTTGCAAATCCTTATTTGACTTATTATCACTGAAGGATCAAGGGACTTTGTTGGCATACTTAAATTGGTTGAGATTTAATCTAAATTAATTGGTCTCTTTGAGACTTCACTATTATCCTCCAAAAAAAAATTGTAAAGATTTAATGGTTTGTCAAAAAGTAATTGAAATTTAAATTTGTATTAAAATTATGTTGCTGCCACCTTCCCATAAAATTATGCCAGTTTTTTCATAGATATTTTTTTTCTCCTTTCATACGAATCTCAAATAGGACAAGTTGCAAGAATACTTCCAATACAAATGTAATATTCATGGAATTTCTACCAATGTCTCCTGAAGCAGGTTCCGTCAGAATAATTTTTATAATCATGTACATTGAATTGCTTAGATGTGAAGGAACGGAATACGACAAAATAATAGGAAATGAAAAAAAAATTATTGTTATTGTCGTTACATATTTATTATAAAAAAATAAATATGAACAAAAAGAATGAAATGTCATAGTTTTTATGTCACAAATACTCTCATTCCTTGTTTCGTGCCGTTGTATTTAACCGTATTGACTAAAAGGAGTTATAAGAGAGGTTACACCCTTGTTTTATTTTGGCGCTCTTTCCCTCACACACTCACACACGCACAACAAACAAATCTATGCAAGTGGGGTCGCAAGAAACTATTTCGTGTTTTGCTTTGAGGCTGTAAACTGAAGAGAATTATTTCAGAGCTCGAGAGAAAAGTGACCAAAGTTGAAAGGTACATATTAGGAACAAGTTCTTTAATGTGTTGCATCGTCTTTTAGATATATATTATACATTCCAGAGCTTCAATTTTCTATCAATAATCTTTCTCTTATTATTCCAATCTGAAGAAACAAAGTGTCTCTTTATGATTCTTTGATATATAGATATTAGAGTTCGAATTAATATTCTATATATCTTCAAATCAAGAATCTTTCTGTTATATTCTAAGCTGTTTTTATCAGTTCCCATGAATTTATTTTACCATCTGAAGATAGAAAGTTGTCGAAGCAATATAATGCTGTTTGGATTCCAAGAAAATGTGTTTTTTTTATATTTAATTAAAATATCTCAATCTTCTTAAAAGGGAGGAAGGGAATTAGACAAGATTGAGATTGTGATCAATGAATCCTTCAAGATTTTTCGAAGTTTTGCTTTGTACTTTAGGGGATTTCGAAGAAAAGGTTTTATATATTTTTGACCAGCAATGTAAATGTGTTTTATATGACAAAGTAATTGAGTTGTGCTGATCTTTCCATTATATTCGGTATTTTTTTTATGAGATTTTTTTTTTGGATGAGATTTATTCTGTAATTTTGCTTAGAATAATTGATGAATATGAATTGCTCGGAATCTCAAACTTTTATTTGTTTAATAAATGTTTAAATCCATACAATCATCTCGAATTTTCTAATGCAATCTGGCAATTTATTTAAAAAAAAAAAGTATTACATGGTTTGAATAAAATTAATTTTCTAATGGAGCTGCAGGATAAAGATATGGAATGCTCAAACAGTATGTCGTCTTCTGGTTTAATATTTTCCGAATTTTACATCAATGATTCTTTTTTTTTTTTATCTTGTTTCTTTTTTTTTATATCATTCAATTTAATAGAAAACCAGGTAATTTGTACATATAAGTTATTTATTGTTTTTATTCTTAAATTACCAATCCGTGGCAAATTTTCATCTTAAACTAAGTTCATTTATGATTCATTTACGACTGAGATTTTGGACACAACACTAAGTGAAATCCTTAGATTGTTTATTAATTCCCTTTTACATTGATTATCATTGGAAATGGCAAAATAATGCATGGTGGAAGTTTTGCCTTTATGGACATTTATGAGCCATTAGTTTAATGGGGAAAACTTTTAGTTTAACACAATAATAAAATTATTGTCCTAATCCTCTGTTTATTAACAATGACCTTTATTTAATTACATCATTCGAAGTTTTGCCTTTTCTAAACAATTATATACTCATTTTGTCTTTATATAAAGTGTTTTTTAAAAATTTGGTTTATGTCTAAATATAAAAAGTGCCATGATATTTAAATAATTAAACAATATTATCCTTGTTTTGAAAAATGGAGGGATATTAATTATATATTTTGCCCACCATTACCATAATATCAATTGTAATATTATTTAGGACAAAACTAAATAATCATTGCAATTTTATTTGATTTCAATTAAATAATAAAATTTTATTAGTATGTGGAATTCAATTAAAAACATCTTTTATATATATATAGATGAAGGGACCATGAGCAATTAATTTGTTTTTTGGGTCCAAAAGAATAATTATGAGGGATTATTAATTCATCAATTTGTTGTTGACAGGAAAGGCATCAGAATTGGAACTAGTGTTACTGAAAGAGAGAGAAGAATGCATTATGAAACAACTTGGGATACTAGAGAAGGAAGATAAAGCCTATCGTGCAATGTTAAGAATGAATGATTTGCCTGACGACACGAGGGAAACGCTGAATATGTTCATTGCTCAAGATGAGCGTTTCAGGAACCTAATCAAACCTATCATCGCAAAGCTGCGTAGCCACAGGGAATCAAATCAAGTAACTACACAAGAAATATTTTTTCCTGGTTATGCTGCATGTATGCTTCCTACGTGCGTACATTCATTTTGGATATAGAACCTGTACATTTCATTAAGAGTTCTAGAAATATATACATATATGGCTGTTTTTGCATGGCATTGATCTCATTGATTACGGAAGGATATAATAAAATAAATACTAATTCGAAAAAGAGAGTCATGTTAGAGTCTTCCTAAATCCAAGTGTTTGCAGATTCTACCCACCCAAATTTGGCCAAGAATATTATCAAAAAGAACTGAAAAATTACAAACAACTAACAAGGATAAAAAAAAAATGCAGAAAATGACCAATAAAATTTTGTTAGTCCTTTTACTTAATTTTATGATCAACTAATAATTAAAGTTAATTTTTATTAGTGGTAATGACAACATTGCACCATTTTCAATAGTTGAAGGGAAATATTGCACAAAAAACAAACTTAACGTCCCAGACACTTCTGAGCTTATTGTTTAAGAGTCAAATTATTATTTAACCCTATTTTTCTTTTCTTTTCTTTTCTTTTCCTCTTCCAAAACATAGCATAATTTTTTTCTGTTTCCATAAAAAACCTCAAACCCAAATTCACCACTAACTACCTTTGGAGGAAAGACAAGCTCATCCGCACATTTCATTTCAATGAGTTTCGTCCTGTACTTGCTTGTTCTTCCAGGATGAAAAGTCGCTTGTTTTACAAAAAAGCCAAATAAGTTTAACTTCACAGGATAAAAGTAACATGAGGTGAGACATCTGTGACTGGATAATTTGCAGATCTAGAGTCAAACTTCATGGGCAGCCATGTAAGAAGAAAGTGGGAACATTAGTCTTCTTGAGAAGCTGAAGAGATGCACAGAAACGTAAACCATACCCTCACAAGACTACGGCAGAGAAGGAGCATCGTTTGCCAAGACCTTTAAGATTAGTTGAGTGCCAGCCTTGCGACTCCGCGTAACATTCCACCTGAGGTTATTGAAAAACAAAGGAACAGTCCAGCACTTAAGCATCTTGATGATATGAAATTGGGGAAGATAGAATTATTATTATTTTTTGGCTGGTAACTGTTAATAGCTTTACACACTTGATATATTTTTATCCAATCAAATCAAACCAAGTGAATTTTAATGTATTAATAATATTAATAATAAGAGTTTGATATGGAATAAATAATTCACAAAAAATTCAAATGTTTTGATTTAATTGGAAAAAAGCACTTTAAGTATACAAGTTTATCTCTAGCAAAAAGGAATATAAAGGGTTTTAAAAAAAAAAAAGGAAATGTACAAATAAGCACGTAGCTCAACTTATAAGGGGTTGTGCTAGTGATTTAAAGTTCGAGTCCTAGGTAGATAACTATGTTAAGTATTCGTTGGGAAAACTTTACCACCAATGTGGTCCTCCTCGGCTCAACCCATGAATAATGGGTAATTGTATGGAAAAAAAAAAAAAAAAGGGAATGCAAAGCAATGCAGAAGACAAACTAGGAACAACCAAATCACCCAATTTTAGGTGCTTTAAAAATTGATGCTTGGGATAGGCTACCATAACATTAGATTTCAGACATTCAATCAGTAGTTAAAAATATCAAATAATCTAAACCCACTCACAATCAAGTGCACCAGAGAATTATTACATACCTTGTCAGAGGCATTATCTTCAACCAAACCTCCAATAGCAAAAATTGAGTTTCCAATAACAACAGCTGCAGAATATCCTCTAGAATTATTCATTGATTCACCCATTGTCCAACGATTCATTCGAGGATCATATATCTCCACTGTTGAGACCATCCGTTCTCCATCATAGCCACCGATGGCATATCTGTAGACAATATTTTGAAGTTTAGTATCTAGCATCTCCTTTTATGATGGGAACATAAGTTTCCTTTTAAAATTGTTGTAATGCCCTGTTTGGTATGATGGAGACTTTCTCATAGAAGTGAAGAGGGAAAATGAGAGGAAAGTGAAATAGAAAAAGGAATAGGACTGAACTTTAAAAGGGAAAAGTAGAAAGAAATGCAAGAAAATTCCCGGCTCTCGAGTGGCTTGACCTCTCACACGTAAGACTGACACTGGCTCAATTTAAAAAATACACACGTTAATTGTGAATCTTATCATTCGTGATATTAACTATGTCTACTGAATTCTATTGAATTCGGATATATGACAAGTTTGGCGCAGGACTTTCGTAGGATCAGTTCCCCCCCCCCCCCCCCAAAAAAAATTACACCAGACTTCAATCAAATGTCGACCTGATCGATTCAAATAAAACTAGGCATGCATATCTATCCCCTTGTTATTAGCAGATTCCTAAGATAACACTTCCATATCTTCTACTAAACATTCACTACGTGTTTGTCTCCCATCCTAGATAAATGGCAGTTGAGAGAAGGAAAGGGGATCAAGAAAAGGAGAGAAAATGAACGTTAAATTACTCTATTAGTGTAGTTTCCATTGAGTTTATGGTTGCCACTTTTATCCTTTAATTAAATTACTGGTCTCTTACCTTTTTATTTTCATTACAAGTGGTATGAAATTTACACCAACAACCGTAAGCTATGACTCCATGGTTGTATGACTTCATCATTCCATTCGGCACATTGACGCAGGCCAAGAGAGAAGAGGGAGAGGAAGAAATGGATAGCAAGTACTTCATCTTATTTTAATTCATCAAACGGTCTACCATAGAATAATTTTAGGGCTATATATAGAGCCCTAAAAGCAAATATCAAAAATAATAATAACTTATTTTAAGCAAGAGAAATCATAAAATAGGAAACAATCAAGAAAGCCTACTAGGAAACAAAATAAAACCATAATAACAAGTTACTAATTACTAAATAAATCCTTCCTAATGTCCCATTATTCATTTCCCATCATGAAGTTGCACTATTTTCAGTGGCTTAACTTCAACATGGACGAGTAAGAGGTAAAATAGGACATCAACTTACAATTTTTCATCAAGGACTGCTAAAGAATGACAGCTTCTCTTTGTGTACATACTCTCAAGTCTTTCCCATGAACGTTGCCGAGGATCATATCTCTCTAGTGATCTGTTATTATAGGAGAAATAAAGGAATTGCTACTCAAAATTAGCATTGACAAAGAAAGGAGCCAGAAAAAGACAGGTTTTGAACATAATTACATATGTAATAGTAAAAGCTGAATCCTTTTCAGTTTCTAATCTTCCCACCATTCATTTTAGAAAATGAAAAGTTAAATAAAGAAAACTCCCACAACATAGTAATCAAAGTACTTTGTTCGGGGTATATAAGCGATTATGATCATAGAATAGAATTTCCCCTGAGAAAGGAAACAAATTAGTTTTCTACAAACTCCAACAGAGTTATATCCAGTCATGATCTGTAAACGTGGATGACACCATCTAGAAAACGAGTTCAATAACCAAAATGATGGACACTTGTTAGTCACTACTAAGTTGCATGATGGGAGTAATATTAAAGAAGGAAAACAGAGACAATACATTTTGGGCTGGGAGGTCAAAAGGAGTTTTTGGCCTTTTTGGCCTACCGAAGTGCAAGAATGTATGTTAATAACAGTTTGTTGAGAAGGAAAAAGAAGGAAAGAGCAAGGCATGCTTAATATAGCAGAGTTTCTGGCCTATCAAAGTGCATTCTATTCTTTGCTCTGTTCCTTTTCTGCTACACTGCTAATTTTCTTATAACATTTGTAAGCTCTGAATCTATTTTGATAGGGAAACACTACTTTGATTAACCACTGTTCTCTGGCTATTGGCTTTATTAACCATGCTTTTGGTGTGTTTTCTTGTATTTTAAATAGATAGTGAAATTTTTTTAGAAAAACATGTTCTCATTAAATTTGCAAATAGTTTACTATGCTAATTTCCAAACCATATCTTATGTGTATACTCAATTACACATCAACTGGTTAGAATGTTACAATAACTCAATTGAAATTATCTCCACCTATCAACATGAAGGTAAAGAAAGAGAGCAATAAATTCCATGCACCCAAATAAGCATTCAACCCAGAGCAAATATCATTAGCTATAAAGAAATTAAACTTAAAAGCTTATTTTAGAATTTCAGTGGTTCAGAGAAGTTGAATTTTTTTTTTTTTTTGGGAAAAAAAAAATTTGTATGCCCTTATTAATGCAGTTCAACAATCATTCTGCCAGACATCCTCCCACACATATATATCAGTAGTAAAGATATATATTAAAGGCTATTATTTGATATATATTTTCATCGCCACCATTGTATGGCCTTGCTGATTTAGATGAGCAAAAAAGTAAAATCAAAAAATAAGCTAGCACTAACAGTCAGATGACAACAAATTGTAAGGGGGAAAAGCCAAAAGAAAGTCTCACTTCAAGTAGTCGTTTCCATCATATCCACCAGCAGCATATATTGCACCATTGAAATTTGCAGCAGCAAGGGAAAATCTCTGGCAGAATAAAGTGAAATGCTAGTCAACAAAGTAAACCATATTCAAGAACAAATTAAAAGCTTAGATATGACAGAGAAAAGATAACTGAATCGTTACTGCTCATATCATATATTAATTCAAGAAAATTATCAATTCAATGCAGTTTTTTAAGCACTATCAAGAATAAAGTCACTGTAATTTAAAAAAAAAAAAGATAAGAAACTGTATGAAGATTAAAAATTTCAAGGCAATGAATCATTAAGGATATCAAAGTTTGACTGTTGCAGGCTGCAGAATCTGCTGATATTTCCAGCTAGATTTCTCCTCACTAGTGTGTAAGATTAAGCATTTTTCATAATCGTATGTTTATGTAGGCAGCCTATAATGTAGATCAGAAAACAAATACGCCCAATGTATTAAACTCAGGGAGGCCCAAAATACCCTATCGTGCATTGATTGCGACAGGATCCACATTCCTACATTGACATCAAATACTTCAACTTCAGAAAAACAGTGTGCTCCATTGCTACCACCAATTGCAAAAATCTTCTCATTCAAATAAATCCCAGCAAGACTTCCTTTCTTTTGATTCATTGAAGGACGTGTAACCCACTGGTTGTTTTCTAAATTGTATGATTCAACTACACAACAAGAGAATAAAATTTCAAAAGAATTTAGCAAAGAGAAAACAAGTTACACAAAATGAAAGAGAAGAAAGAATGATCGAAGGTACTAGAGGAAATCCAATACCTGTATCATACCACAAATTACGGCATTCACCACCAATAACATAGATTTCGTCATTCAACTTCACAGCAGAAGTATAAGAGCGCATACAACTCATTGGACAAAGGGACTCCAATGAATCACGAGAAAGACAATAACAATCCACACATGATAAATGAGATAAACCATCAAAACCCCCTATTATGAGTATTGATTTCTCAACACTCGATTCAGAATCCGTAACAAGATCAGTTTGTTCACATGAGCTACACTCTGAGATTTCCAATAGCTGCTTCAAGTTCTTTATCACCCTTCGTGATTCAACCTGAATTTCCCAATGAATTAAATGCATTAAAAACTATAGTTTCATTTGAAATATTCATAACCAGCAACAGGAACTTGATTACATTTTTAAAAATTTTTGAAACACTTTATCTCTCTGGAAGAAACAACCAATTAAAAAAACTATAAACAACACGGCAAATAGCATCAAAATGTACATCTATAAAAGATACAAAGGGTGATGGAAGACAATAATCATATATATCCTCAATTCATTTCCAGTAATAGAACTCACTTATTTATAACAAAAATCTTAAATTTAAATAATGATCAGGTTCATACCAACTCCTCCTCCAATGATCTAATTTTCTGATCCTGTTTGACTTGATTTAGCTTCAACTGGCAGATTTCCTCTAGTATCTTCAAAATCAACAAATAGCAAAAGATCAATACTGCTGATTTGCATAACTGAGTTTAAGGACATAAGACGCTAACTTACCTTGTGCATAGTAGACTGTGAATTGGCATCTGGAACAGACTCTTCTCCGGGCAAGGAACAGTTTTCTATCTCTGCTCTATCCAACAAAGAAATATTCTCCTCTAATGTATTAGTCTTAGAAGACACGACCTCCATTGAAGCCTTTTGAGGAAAGCAAGGATCATTGTCTATTGCAAGAGAGAAGTATAGGGTTTCCATGTGCTGCTTCAGGCCATCAAATTCTTCATAAAATTGTCCAGGTCCACCTACAAAGTCTTTTAATGAATCATTTTCCCCATCCAACTCAAGACTACTAGATGAAGCCAATGTACTATCAGTATTGATTGTTTTTGCAAATAGTTCACTCCATTTTTGCTGAGGAAGGGAAGAACTCTGGCCTTTGGAAGCAAGACAGGTTTCTTTTGCTTGCCCTATTCTACGTGCTTCTTCATTGTCTGATATGTTAGGTGACCTATTTTTCTCGTCCAAACCATGAGCATTGAAAGAACATTGTCCAATGTGAGCCTTTGAATGCACCATAGAATGATCGCTATTTCTCATGATAGATGAGTTAGGGTTCACATTTAAATTGGCTCTCTCAACATTGAGGAGGGCATTGCTAGCGAAAACTGGTGAAGATGCAAACATGGATATCAACTTACTTGTCTGACTGTGGTCTAATTCAAACCAAAAGTGATTTGATTCATAATAGTTGCCAATGATTATAGGACCAAATAGGTCTTCAATAAGGGGCTGGCATTGCATCTGAATTCGGACCCTTACCTTAAAAATATGACAAAAAATAGGTATGTCAGAATGGAAATGATTGTTGATATTAAACTAATTTTGAAATCATTATGTAGCATCAAGCAATACTTGTGCTGGAAATGGGGTGCATTCTGAGCCATTTTCAGTCCACCCACAAGGATCAATGTTCATTTTTCCTTCACTAGCAGCTTCAAATATACCATGTAGCTTCCTATAATTGTAATTGAATAAGAAAAGTGGCAAACCAGGTCGAATATGCTTTACATAAGAGATATGAGTAGCTGGTAGGCCTGTTCCATAATTTAAAGTGAATTCACATATAATTCAGTTGGTTAACAATAATTAGAATTGTTACTCGCTAAGAAACTAGGAATTTGGAAAAAGGTCAACTAACCAAACAGCAGTTTGGAAATGCACTCTTTGATTGTATTGTTCTTGCAACCAAAGATAACTCCAGCTAACTTAGCCTTCCCAAGGTTTCTAGTGCTGATGCTACAATTTACTGACCATGATCTTTTTGATTTTTCTTGCAATGTATATGACTTGGTCTTCCTTCCACCACCCATTCTCTCTGTAGGTAGAAAAGAACATGATTCTTTAAAGTATTGAAACAAATTATTAGTGAAACAACAGTGAAAAGGAAAAAATAAAAAGAAATCTAGGATTGTAGGAAGCAAACATTCTCAATAATAGAGAATGGCAGCTCTGTTTCAAGTTTGAAGACTACTATAGCTAAAGCAAGGTGATGCAACCATGACCCAATACTACTGCTCATTCATGCATCTTTGGCAACAAGTAGACTTGTATGATCATCATATGTGGAGATGGAGCTGTAAGCCTCTCTACTACAAGCAAATAGTTGAAAATCGCATATGGATTTTTGCTTGGACTCAACAATATTTATGAAGAGGTAAGGAGAAGGATTATGAGTCATGAACCTATTTAAAGCTTTAAATATGACAAAGTGTGAGGAAAGCCAAAAGCAACTCGCTCAAGGAAATAGCTTGCAACCAGAAGCATCTGCACTAGCTGCAAAAGGAGTGTGAGATACTGGTCAGAAAGGAAAAAGTGCCTTTAAATGCTGGTGTGACCATTATAACAATGGAGGGAACACTAGAAATATATGCTGGAAGTTGCATGGAAAGCCCCCCAGTATGAAACAAAAGCAGAAAGCTGAAGTTAAAGGGTATATGGCCTCATGAGGTGAGAGACTAGAAGTCGATGATTGAAGGTTCAGTAAAGAAGAGATTCAATTTTTGAGAAAACTCTTAAAAAGGCAGGATCTCTCCTTGATAACCCAGATACAACCTCAAAAAGACATGAAAATTCACCCAGAAATCTGGAAAATGATAATGTAATGGAAACAAGGCTGACACAGCCTGAAAGAAGCAGTGTAAACAGAAGAAACAGAGGTAAAGTACATCAACAAACAGATGGAGAAGTCCAAACCATTTCAGAACTGCATCAAAAATCTAACCCAGTGCCAATTCTGAGGAACTCAGGTGGCCAATTGCACTTAGCAAGGGGATAAGTCTTGTACTAAATATCCTATCAATAAGTTTGCAAGCTTATCTCCTAAAATGCAGTCATTTGTGGTACTAATTTATGGTCCTAATTTGAGAGCTGTTATTAAAGAAGAATTAAGGGCTATAGAAAAGCACAAACCTTGGGAGATTACTATGCTTCCCAAAGTAAAGGCCTCTGTGGCTAGTAGAGGGGTCTTCACCATTAAATACAATCCAAACGGCAACATAAGTAGATACAATGCAAGGTTAGTAGCAACAGGGTTTACTCAAACACCTGGAATTGACTACGTGGAAACTTTTGCACCTATTGCAAAGTTTAACACAATTAAGGTATTTCTTTAATCTTGAAAGGCCTCTACATCAATTAGATGTTAAAAAAAAAAAATTTGTGCTCCTGAATGGTGATTTGGAAGAAGTGTGCATGGAGAAACTTACTGGGCTTCAGAACAAAGAAAACTCTACAAAGGTTCATAAACTTCACAAGTTTTTGCATGTGTTAAAGCAGACACCGAATGACATGTAAATAATAATTAATAAAGAGAGTTGGTGGGTTGGAAGTTATGCAAGTTAGAACTAGTATATAAATAAAGGCTATGCATAGAAATTGTAGGTTGTTGTTACTTTCTCATAATTCAGACCATTATTAACTTTTACCTCTCTGATTATCTCTTTCTCTTCTACCTACCGTCTCTTCCCCCCATCTTCTACCATGTCACCATGAGTTTGGCTTGATAGGTTTATGGGAATTAATATACTTATCCCATACTTGGCCAGTCATTAGTTTTTGTATGAGCATTGTGACTTGTGATCCAGATCATGATTACGCCAAAAGAAGAACATATGGAGGCCACATATAAAATTATAGGATACTTGATGGCACCTGGGATATGATTACTTTTGGCTAAAGGTTTAACTAGAAATGTTGAAGTATGCACTAATGCTTATTGGGCAAGTTCAGTAGTAGATACATAGATCTCCTACTGGACACTCCACTTATGCATGGGGCAATCTAGATACCTTAAGAAACAATAAACAATCAGCTATAGGCGGCAGGTTCAATAATGCTACACTTACGAATGGGGCAATCAAGTTATCCAGAGAAGCAAAAACAATCGTGACAAGAATCAAAGCTGAAACTGAGTATAAGGCTTTGGCCCTAGGAAACTATCTATGGATGGATGTGGGTACTCAAGCTTCCTGCAAGAATTAAAAGTCAATAAACACATATCTATGAAGGTTTGGTATGAAAATGTAGCTGCCATCGGGATTGCGAAGGACCCTATCCAATTGAAATGCTCAGGCGGCTGATCTTTTGACCAAGTCATTTCCAGGGTAAGGTTTGAGGAACTCAGTGGCAAGTTGGGAATGATGAATATCTACTCTTGAGCGGGACTGTTGGTAACTGTCGAAACCCATTAACACAGACCCAGTAGAAACTACACTAATCCGTTCTTTTACTATACTGTTTCATTTATTCTTCGTTCATTATTATTCAGTTTAAGTAGTTAGTTTAAATTACCTTATCTAATTAGATAAACTAGAAGATATTAGATGCTAGTTACAGAGTGAGAAGCCAGCGATTTCGCGCGCCTTTTCATGCTCTGTTTTCTGTCTGCATTGAAAAAAGCAACAAGTATCCTCTACGTGTCTTCTTTCTTCATCCGATAAAATATATGTGCAGCCATTCACCCGATAAACTAGAAGGTTCAGACCATGGCATATACAATTTGTGAGTTCCAGCATTACTTTAGATTACAACAATGAAGGCAAGTAGCAGGAAGGAAGCAAGTATTGAATTAATATAGCTCAAAACAAAATTTAAGAATAAAAAAATTAAATAAGCCAACAAATAGAAGGAAAAAAAATCAGAAAACGGAACAGACGTGGTTCTTCCACACGCACCAAGACGACCCGGAAACTTTGAAGACCTGGAAGCAAAAATGCAGGCCGATTTGAGTGTCTGAGTGAGTAGAAAATATGCTTGCAATTACTTGCTAGACTTGATCCAAGTGCCAAAATTTGATTTCCGGAATCGAAGAGTGCAAGCTTTTGAGTGTATTGCCATGCTCGAGGAAGATAGGCATAGAAGACTTAGCTTGTAAGTTTCATTTCTTTAAGCTAAAAAAAACAAATGAAAGCGATGCGAGGATCGAAGAAGAAAGAAAATGGAGGAGAAGGCTGAAGAAAAGAAAATGAGAAGACGGCAGAGAGGGAAACAGAAGCAGTAAAGACTGAGTGGCACTGAAGTTCTGATTTCTGAAATATGAAGCGTCTGTAACGTGCCATGCCATTTTTAGCTTTCGTTCCGAATTCAGACACGACACATGAGCAGGAAGAAGGTACGGTTTTGGGTGTATTTACCTTATCACCCTCACCCGTCTTTTCATCTCCTCACGGCTCACAGGTTTGACACAGCCGTAAGAGTGACCCAAAAAATAAGTAAATGGAAAATAACTTTATTTATCAAAAAGGGAAAATAAAACACACTAAAAAAATTAAAGCCATTTAAAAATGTATATATATTTTTTAAAAAAAATACATTGTGACTATTTTGGCCAAAAATTGAAAAAACTTGTTCGGAACTTTTATTATCTCTTTTAATTTAGTAATTTTATTAAAATAATTCTCATTAGATTAGTAATAACTTTAAATAATATTTTAAAACATGTTGGCGGAAACTTTTGTTTAGCCCTATTCATTTTATAACTTTAATATAAAATTTATAATTTATAACAAGCTCATTCTAGTTATAAATTATGATCGATTATGAAATGATGGATGATCGTTACAGTTTTTTTGAAAATTAGATTGATAGATAGAAGGGCGGAGAATTTTATTAAAGGCCTTTAGATGTAACATAATTTCAATTGAAACCCAAAAAATCTAAGTTTTACTGCAAGCTCGGGTGATTGAAATGAAATAAATATTCTGTCTCTATATATAACATATTTTTAAAAACTTTTTTTATTTTTAAATATAAAGAGTGATAATAATATTTTGAGTAATTAGACATTTTTAATCTTGTTTTGAAAAATAAAATAGATCGTTAATTGAATATTTTTTCTACTACCATCATGATATTAATTATGATATTATTAAGAGTAAAATTAAAAAATTATTATGTTTTTATATGAGTTTAACTAAACAACAAATTTATTGATATGCAAAATTCAGTTAAAAATACTTTATATATAGGGATGGAGGAAATAACAAAAATGTCCTTCAATTATAATTAGTATCATTGAATTAATGAGTCAAGTTATAATTTTTACAAATAACGTTATTAGAATAACAAGCCAAGTTATAGGTTTTACAAAAAATATTACTAGAATAAATTTAATTTTTTATTATTCTCATAACATTACTTATAAAAATCATAACTTGATTTATTATTTTAATAATGTTAGTTAATAAAAATTATAACTTAACTTATTATTATAACAAGGTTATTTGTAAAAATTGTAACTTAATTTGTTATTTTACTAATATTATTGGTAAAAACCGTAATTTGACTTATTATTTTAGTTATGTTAACTTGTTATTCTAATAATATTACTAGTAAAAATTATAATTTGACTTATTATTCTTATAATATTACTTGTAAAAGTTATAATTTAACTTATTATTTTAATAATGTTAATTATAATTGAATGGCACTTTAGTCATTGACTGTTACTTATAATTTTATTTGTAAACAATTATAATTTGACTTACTATTTCAATAATGTTAATTATAATGGAATGGCACTTTAATCATTTAACTAAGATTTTTTTTTTTCCAGTCATCCGAGCCAACAGTGAGATTTCAAAAATGAACCGTTATCAAAATTATATCATATCCAATAGGATCTTTAATGAAATTATCCCACAAGCCTCATATATAGAATTAGGCAGTTTTTCATGCGTTGCACAGGTTAGAATTAAGGAAAATATTATCAATACAATTAATATCAACACATTTGAGATGATCTAAATTTTTAAAAGTTTCTCTATTCAATTATTTTCTTTCTTGAATATTTCATTTACACATCTTGTTTTCGACAAAATTTAAAATTTATTGCTAATATTTTAAATTATTAAACTTTTTTAATCTTTATAAATATTAAAAAGTCAGAAGGAATAAAAGGATTTGTGGCTAAAATGCATAAGAAAGCACACTCTTATCTTCCTCACAAAGATATATTTTTTTCTTGTATGTATGTATGTATGTATGTATGTATGATCAAAGAATTGAATATGTATTGTCTGCCGAATTGTTTCCACCTCACTTCTTCAATGTGAAAAGCTGAAGAGCCACCATGTTATCTTATCAATGTGGAATATATGGTGAAACATGCACAATTTAAAAGACCAAGATTACGAGATAAGAATTGATAGTTTAGATCAAACTTAAACTTCTTTTTATTTTTTCTTTTTTACAAATAATTTTTATGGATGATAATGTATGAGAGTTTATCGATATTGAATACAGCGAATTAAGAAAATATATGAAAAATAGGAAAAGAAATTAAATGTCATTAATCAAGAAAATTGAAAAAATATGGGAAAGTGCAACGAATGCAGAAGGATAGCTTAATAGAGTTAATGCTAGCAATCAAGAAAATTTAAAAATGGGACTACTCCTGTAAAAATAGACTGAAAAAACATGAAAAGTAGAAAAATAAATTAAATGTCATTAATAAAAAAAATTGAAAAGACATGGAAAAGTATAGCGAATAGAGAAAGATGGCCAAATGGAGTTAATGCTAATGATAAATAAAATTTAAAAATGGAACTGCTCTTAAATCAATGCTCTTGTGAAAGTAGATTGAAAATATATAGAAAATAAGAAAATAAATAAAATCTCATTAATGAATTAAGAAAAAATTTTATATTAACATTAGCCTAAAATTTATTAACTAATGAGAGTCAATTTTTTTAACCAATCAAATTGAAGCTACGAAATTCAAATTCTTCAAGAAGTATATGGATGAACCCAATGTCCTCTCCCTAACATTGGCCAAAAAGAGGCTCGAAACTCCTCCATCTCAGCCACCTAGCTCTCCATCGTCGACAACAAAACCATTTAAGAGAATGGCTGATCAATCATCAATTAGGGCATATGAGACTAAGAAACACAAAAATATTTCTCTATTGGGAACATAAACTCTCTAGCTGGACTTGATAGCATGAAAAATATCATATTTAATGCTCCTGTGGTAGATGACTTGGGAAAAATTTAAAATAAAATTTAATGCTCTCGTCCTATGAAATGATAAAAATTAATTAAAAAAATTAAATTTTAGAAAAACATATTCAATCTCGTCAACCAATGAAATAGTAATATTAATATTAGACTAAAATTAAATTAATTATAAAAAAATTAATGGTGCAATGAGATAGGATAATTAACATTATACCAATATATGTTGACCAATGAGAGGAAGAGATTTGTGACCAATCACTTTCATTCCACAATATTTGCGCGCGCGCGCGCGCACACACACATATATATATATATATATTAATTGATGATGTGGATCACACTACATGCCACGGTATAAAATCAAAAGCAACATTTTTCAATTATCATCTTTATTTATTTATTGATACCAACTATCACAAACATTTAAATCTATTTAAAAAAATCGGTGTTTTTATTTTTTAAAATGAAAAAAAAAATCAACGTGCTTCATTTGGTGTTCCATCCTTTCAAAATATTTGTTTCTACGGAAAGTAATTATTTCACAAGTATTATTTACATTTTCAAACTATTAAAGAAATATTTAATTAACCGTGATAAAAATTTAAGTCTCTCAAATTTATCTCAATTATCAATTTAATCCTTAATGTTTTCTTAAATTATCATGCTCATCATTTAAGTTTTAAAATAAAATTTATTCTCAAAGTAATTTAATGTAAAAAGTTTTTGATAACTTGGTAATATATAGCTAAATGAGAAAAGATTAGCAACCAAAATGAGTTCAATTTTTATTAATAATCTATTCAAAAGCCCTAACGTACACTGCATTTTGTTCTTTTATTTTTAAAAAATTTTTAGCATGTTTTTTCCTCTACTTAAATAGTTACATTTATTTTCATTAATCTACATTAGTATGATTAATATTCCTCTATTAAATTTTAAACAATAAAGACCAAAGCGATAATTGAAGAAAACTTAAAAGACCAAAATAATAATTAAAGCAAATTTAAATAATTAAATTAATAAAAATTAAATTTGAAAGATTTAGTTGATAACCGAGACAAACTTGAAGGAATAAAAGTTTCATGATCCCTTTAATTAATGATATTTTTATGTAATTTTTAAAGGCATTAAAATAACTATAAGTACATTAATAAGATTTACTTTTTTGTCATGTTAGTATTTTAATTAGAAAAAATTAATCTTTTAATCTCTTAACTTTTAATTTATTTATAACTTAGTCTCTGAATAATAATTTTTTATAATTTAGTCCCTCAACTATGACTCACCTATAATTCAGTTTCTCAACTTTTGACTCACTTATAATTTAGTCCTTCAACTTTTATTAATTTTTTTAATATTAACTTAGATCTCATATCAAAGAGTAAAAGGAAAGTATTTTAGAATAATATATGAGCATTTATTTTATCCCTCTTATTTGATAAGAAATTTTTTTAAAAAAATTAAAAATAAGAATCGAATTATAAGTGAATTAAAAGTTGACGAATCATAGCTGATGAATTAAGTTAAAAGTTGAAAAACTAAAAGATTAATTTTTTCTATTAATTAATAATTAATAAGAAATTTGATAATAATATTTTTACTTATTAACTAGATCTTATGCACGTATAACTAGATTTTTACTTAGTATAATGCACACTAAGATAACAATAAGCCCTAATTTGCTTGGAGAGGAGAAGGGAAAGAGATTTTAATAAGTTTGACTAAAAAAATTGATGAGTGGGGTTAAGAAATAATAAAAAAGTTTTGACCCCACTTTTTTATTAAAAAAATTAAGTTGAATCTACTCATGGTCAAAACATGTCTCCCACTTTACTAAGCAATTTTATTTTTTACTCCCTAAACATAAATAACTGTGACAATAAAAATATAAATAAATATATTTTTATTTCTCCTAGCACAAGCTCTTGC